CAAAAATAGCAAAAAAGTTTCTTTTGTGATGAAGCTTTCAATTGGCCTGGTAATTAGCTTTGCCCTTCAAAATTATGTGTCACTTGAGGGTTCTCTGTTGAGCAAGAAACATCAGAAAACTGTTCCTCCAACTCTGGATTTTGAACAGTCATTGTTTTTCTAGAATACTTTCCAAACTCTGGACATTTGTTCTAATTCATAAAATCCAAAATGTGCCCACAGTCACTTGCAAAGTGGTGATACAAGTCAGGGCTTTCCATCAACAAATCTGCTAACTACCTAGTTTGTAACGTGTAGAGTCAGGACAACGGAGTTGGGGATCCAAACGCAAGGCTTTATTGCAATTGTGGTCAAAAACAGGCAGGGTCGAGCACCAGCAAACAGTATAATCTGAGGCAAAGGCAAAAGAGTAATCCAAAACACGGGCAATGGTCAGGGCAGGCAGCAAACAATCAAAAACAGGGAAAACGGTCCAAGGGTCGAAACACAGGAAACTAGGCAACACGGAGACTAGGAAACTTAGAAACACGAAACACCAAACAATCAACAGCAAACTAGGAGCAGGTGTGAGCGACTTATAAGCAGGGGCAAGGAGAACACATGACAAAACTAACCAATCAGAGCATGACACACAGACAATGGAGCACATGACAAGATCACATGAGGGACAAGGAACACATGGGAAATTGAGTCCAGGAACAATAGCCAGAGTCTGAGGTGGAGTGCCCTCTAGAGGAGTTCATGGGCACTCCAGCTGGCGATCGTAACAAGTTTAGATAGTTGCTAACATCCGTACATCTAAGTTTTACCAGCCAAGTGGTTTAAGCTTGTGGCTAAATACAAAAATATAAATAATTTAAAAAATCAGCTTATGGAGATTTGTGAATTGTATTGAATTGCAGAATTGTTTAAAAAGTGTATCAAGAATCTAAGAATCATTTCTAGTTTGAATACTGAGTAAACCCTCTTTTTTGTATCTCTAATATCCAGCATTCTGGAGGGTGAAATAATGATGAAATCTGATCGGTCCTGTTATAGTTCTGTCTGAAAGCAAAATAAAAAAACTTTCACTGATACACCTCTACAAGACTGAGTCGATTCCCTACAGCACGCTCTTTGAACCGCTCCCTTGCTATAGAAGCTAACCTGATCTAAGAAACTCAGCTCTGATTGGTCTTATCTCGATCCGGTCACCTCTCTAGTATAGAATCGGCATCGGACTGTTCCATAATTTATAAGGACAAATGAGGTGAGTGACGTGCCACTGTTCAATAGTTCACGCACGACAAAATGAAAAAGAACCGTTCTCACCTTGGGGTTTAAAAATATTTGGAGCAGTCATGAAACTTTAAGCATGCAGCGGCCTTCTTGCATGCATCCAGCCAAGATGCCTCATGTGGAAAATTGTGGCATTGAAAAATGGGAAGCTAAAACAAGTGTGCTACACACACACACACACACACACACAAAACACACACACTCAGGATGCTGCAAACATCACTTTCATGGTGCTGCATTTGCTGCAATTATATAATCCTATTTCTTAAAGCCCTGATTGTAATAGCGCAAGCACAAAAATAATTCGTGAGATTCATGGCATTCATGGCATCGGTTCACGTGTGTTTGTGTCAGATATACAGTATTCTCGTGACAACAGGCATAGGCGCACTTGTAAATCAAATTCCCTTTGAAAAACAAGTTTGTGCAAAAGTTGTATTCAGGGTCAAGTGTGCAGTGAAAAGTTAATACCAACATTCCACACGGCAGTGTTCAGACTTACAGTATCTCAGAATTACAGTATATCTGATTAACAGAGTTACAGAGTAACAGCGCTGGTTATTTAGCTAGTAGCTGGGAGGACATAAATGGTCTACAGTCATAAAACTTGGTTGTAAAAACTTTTAAGGCTTCAAATAAAAGGTCAGGAGGATATAATTTTAAAAGGGGTACTGTAGCATTAGCATTGGGCAGTATCATTAGTGCAAAATTGGACCAAAGTGGATTACAAATTATTGCACCAAAGAATTCTGGTCCATTCATTTCGGGGCATGAATGGAGACTGGAAAAAATAACTGGAAAAAATTACCCCTAACCAAATTATCAGCACGCCAATGTTAAACCATTAAACTACTCTCAAAGCCTCTTCTCTTGGATTGATTTTTTTTTTGCTGACTTTCAGTATTTGATTCTTTTTGTTTTATCACCTTGAGTAAAGTGCAGCATGTGTGTCTTGCTAATGCACTGCTGCAGTAACAGTAAGTGGTTGAGGCTCAGTGGCTCAGGGGATTGTGGGAGGCCACAGCAGTACACACAGCTGTAATAAAGTACTTCCACTGCTGAGCTTCTCTCATCTGTCAGAGGTCAGGGGTCAGCAAGAGAAACTGCTCACACTCACATTTTGATGCACTTCTGTCGTATATACCAGTGCAGGAGCTGAGCCACTGAAATGGACAAATAAAAGGTCCCTTGTCTCTTTCTCTCTCTCTCTCTCTCTCTCTCTCTCTCTCTCTTTCTTTGTCTCCCACTCTCACACTCACACCTACAACATACATGCCTACACAGTACAGACTGCTTCTACAGCTTCTACACCTCTACACCTCTGCTTTATAACACTATCCACAGAAAACTACACGTGATGTCAGCAAGCACATGTCTAATAACAGTCCGAGCAGCATTCACCTCTAACCTGTGACTGCGGTTTCAGAGGTGGCTCACAGAGTTGAATAGGAGCTGTGATTCCCAGGCCTGAGATTTTTATAAGCTGAACAGAGAGTGACATGGCCTATCCTGAACTACTGTGGGCTTTAGTTGCCTGTGTAATCGTGGTGATAGTGACAGCAGGGTTGGCACATACCATTATAATGCTCTTGATTAAACACAATTGTGCCACCCTTTCTGTAAATTTTCAGTGTCCTAATAGGCAACAACATACATAAATTTTTATAAGTCATTAACAAAAATTAAATACTGTGCTAGTGTGCTCAGAATTTCAAAGATTAAAATACATATGCTCACCAGCAACTTTAATAGAAACACATATATCCCAGAATTTGTAAATCATCAAAACACATGATCAGCCAAGTCAGCCAATCATGTGGCAGCAGCACAATGTATAAAATCATGCAGATACAGGTCAAATAAAAAGCCTGCACCCAGTGTAGCATCAGATTGCTGTTCTTGGCTGACAGGAGTGGATCCCAATGTGATCTCCCATCCACCGCAAGGTTTGATGTGTTCTGAGATGCTTTTCTGCTCATCACGGTTGTAAGAAGTGGTTATTTGAGTTACTGTAGCCTTCTTGTCAGCCAGAATTAGCCTGGCCATTTTCTCTCTCTCTCTCTCTCTCTGACCTCTCTCATCAACAAGGTGTTTTTCGCCAACAGAACTGCTGCTCACTAGATGTTTTTTGCATCAGTCTGTTGTGCATGAAAATTTCATGAGATTAACAGTTTCTGAAATACTCAAACCAGCCCGTCTGGCACCAACAACCATTCCAAGGTCAGAGTCACAGAGACCACATTTTTCCCCATTCTGAAGTTTGATATGAACATTAACTGAAGCTCTTGACCTATATCTGTATAATTTTAGTCATTGCACTGCTGCCACATGATTGGCTGGATAATAGCTTGAATGTGCAGGTGTACAGATGCTCTTAATAAAGTGGCTGATGAAGTTTTGGAGTTCACATGACATTATTAACTGTTAACAATTGCCTTTGGACTTTTCCGGAACCAAAACAAAAGCACTACCAAAGAAAACTACACAGAATGGTATGAGGAAGTCAGACTGGTGCTGAATCTTTCTAGCCCAGACTGTAGATTCATGCAGCATATCAGTGACCATCATACACAGAGTAACACTCCCCTACATTTGATCTCCATTTGGGCTAATATTTTTCAGCCTGCTTCTCTGACACATCAGTAACACGTTATCAGCATTGACTGAGAAGATATCATGTGAAATAAAGTCGCAGGAGTAATGAATGTAAATGAGGTGGATTATTTACTTTATCATCTTCATTTTCCCCCAGAATGCCTTTGGAGGAGGAACTAAATGAAGATAGCATATAGCATCCCATCAAAGTACAAATTATATAAAAAGACAGAAGCGTAAGTTTAGTGGAGAAGGTTGTTTTTTTTCAGCTTACCATGTACATTTACCGTGTGTGTGTGTGTGTGTGTGTGTGTGTGTGTGTGTTTGCCCCACATCGTTCTTCAATGAGACCGCATGATATCAATGAGACCTCATGATATAATCGCCCTAATATTTTCATTGGCGAGATATTGATACATATCAGATTTTAGCCTCCCTTCCATATCATAACCAGCTGTTACTGGTAATGACAATTTCCTTAAAGAAAACATAACAAGATGAAAATGTCAGGAGCAGTGAAACATCTTTCATGAACCCTATGCAGCAGAGTTAATGTACTTGTTCTTACAAGATTAATGTTATTAGATGCACCCAATTCCTTATGAAGGAGCTGTTGCATGTTAGCTAACTCATGTTAAAGAAGGAGAAAGGCTTTAGCTGAGTCCATGATGGTAGTGTACATTTGTAAAACAGTCAGACGTTTCATTTAAGAAGGAATTAAATCTTACAAAATGATTAAATTTGTGTTTTGGACATGTAAAAAGAAGCCACTGGGGAAATTTGAAGGGAAAAATAGAAAAACATTTAGTTCATTTATTAAAACTGTTCCTTTATAGGTTATTTATTTATTTGTTTGTTTATTTCTTTATTTCTTTATTTATAAATGTACTTAATTTGCTACTTAATAATTATGCCAATTAATTTGCTGCAGTTTTTTTGTCAACTAGATTGATGTTGCTCCTCTTTCAGCTGCTCCCGTTAGGGGACGCCACAGCAAATCATTGGTCTGCATATTTGATTTGGCACAGTTTTTACATGGTATGACCTTCCTGACCCAACCCTCCCCTTGGCCTTGGGACCAGCATTGGAAGTGTGCTGTCTTGTGCAATCCCAGTGGCTGGGGTCGGTTCCCTGGCCGGGAATCAAACCCGGGCCACGACAGTGATAGCGCCGTGGCCTAACCACTAGTCCTCCAGGGACCCTTTTGTCAACTAGATTAGCAGACTAAAGTCAATAACAACCAACCTTTATTTATTTTTGTCAAAAGACTGAAACTAAACCCAAATTAGCTTAAAATCCAAATTAGAATGAATGAAAAGTGATGAAAGTGCTAGAGTCCATTTATTCCCCTTGAGAAACCTTTCTACCAGATATATTACACATTCCCTCAGTAATCATAGACTTCTACCACGTAAGACAAAGAAACTGTGGGAAAATGTACTATAGGTGAATTCCACTTAACGGTAGAGATGAAAATTAAACAGGAAATAATCATGCAGAAACACTAGCAGAAAGCAAACACAAGCACGATGGATCAAAAGCCAGATCAGCATTTTACTTACTGCCGAGAGTACCTGCCGCCTCACCTGCAAGACAAGAGCAAAGGTTTTATGAGTACTAAGTAAAATTCTCTTATTGCGAACATAATGTAGTCAGATATAACAACTGAGAATAACGCTTTCACGATTTGCTGATGCTATTAGCAAAGATTTGTTCACCATTATTAAGAGTGAAAAGTGCTCCAGTGTAATCCAACGCCCTCTCAAAGCCCACAGGGGTTCCCACTGAACTCGAAAATTTGCTTGTGCAGCAATATCTGCACTCACAGCAATCCGTTAAAAACTGACAACACAGGTCTGACCTGCTTTTCGCATCCTGATATAACAACCAGACACTTGTGTATGCTCTAAAATAAAATGGACTGCGTTTTGTTTGAATTTTTTCCTTTTTATGCTGTGGCCCTGATCCACTAAGATCCCAAATAAGGAGTACTAATTTGCATATGCAATCTTATTAATTGTGTGTGCAATTAGTGGACATGTTAAGGGTAATTTTACGTGATGCGTAAATGATATCACGTGCAAAATAGGTATAGGAGGCAATATTTCTCTGTATTTATATTTCTCTGTATTAATATTTATATTTTATATTTATTGCATCTGTTAATTGTGCTTCTGAATGCTCGACTCTGATCAGAAGGTGTTCATTTTCTATAACAGCTCTGACGGTAGTTCCAGCTGTAATTCCAATCACAACATTATTGTTTCTGTAGTAACAGCTCATTCACAGAGACCTGTATAGCGGACGCCCAAATAATCAAAGAATAATAAAAAAATAAATAAATGGATTTAAAGTGTTGTTGTTATTTAATAAAGAAAAACATAATAATTGTTGCTATGATGAAGGTTTCTGTAAGGAGAGTTTATTTAATATTTATGGAAGGAGTCTCCAGTGTCAGCACTGTTTAACAGTCAGCGGTAAAGCTGTAACCTTAAGTTTTCCACCATGGGAAAGTCTTCAGAATGGAGGAAATTGTGCTTTTGCGTCTTTGCAGGCTAAGAGAGAGTGTAAGTAATAACAGAAACTAACTCGATATAAATCTAATTAGATATAAATCTATATAAACAAATAATTTTAATAAAGAGTTCTTTGTTAAAAAATAACAAATAATAAATAATTGGCAAACTGCTGTGCTATAAGAGGAATATGTGTTTTATTCCACTTATATTGTGCCAATTTGACAATTAGTTATTATGCTTTATTTTTTAATTTTTTAGTTATTATGCTTTATTTTATACTTTTTCAGGAATTGCTGTTATAGGTAAATAAGCATCACACAACCTCATAATTTTTTCTCTTCCTGCTAATTTAACTGCTCACCCTGTTGTGTTTTATTCTTTACTTGATAGCCATGTCATGTATCAAAAGACACTACCTATTTTATTGAGAATCGTGTAGCTTTATGAACGTGAAATAAAAGAGTGTATGCATGACTGTATGTCTGTACATAAGATAAACGTATGCTACTGATATTTGATGTGCAGATGTGTGACGATTATCTAATATCAAGCCATCACTATAAAACCAAGTCATCATTTTTGGTAAAACTTATTCATGAAAGCAAACACACACAAAAGGGACAAGACATGTTATTTTGTTCAGATGAAAGACAAGCAAGCTAAGCTTTACTAAACCAAGCTAACCTTTACTAAATTTCTTATGCGATTCATATAAGAAAATGACAGGTACGGGCAGCAGACATCTAATTATACTGATCAGAGAAAAAAAAAAATGAACAGCCGACAAGACAACAAGGGTGCAAGAGAGCATCAGAGAGAGTTACAGAGAGAGGAAATGGGCAAGAGGGAGAGAGAGAACAGCACTTGAAGAGAAACAGGAAGACCGAGTAACAAGGGCACGAGAACAAATGACAGATTTACTTTTATTTTTTGGAAACAAAGTCGCATCTTTATCTCTACATCTGACGCTAAGGTGTGCCAGCAATTTCCTCAGAGTGAAAACAACAAGCCAGAGTTGAATCATTGCACTCACTGATTGCATTGTGAAGTGAGATTGAGAGCGTGTGCACATGTGCGTGCTTGTGTGTGTGTGTGTGCATGTGTGTGTACGTCTTTTGTTTTCTTCCTGCTTGCCTAATTTTACAGTGACATGACCGGCTCCTACATTAAAGCTGATACAGCTTGTGCTCTCATGCAGGTGTGCTAGTTATCTTCCATATTCTTTCACTGTCACCTCTTTCTCGTGTGTGTGTGTGTGTGTGTGTGTGTGTGTGTTTGTATGACATGCACACAGTGCTTACAGGTGTTGGGTGATCCATTGGGAGTGGGCAGGTACGAGCCGGGCTTCCACGACTTTGCTTTGAAGCCTCGTTCGCAGCGAGCGCAGTCCTGCCCCGTGGTGTTGTGCTCACAGTCACACTGGAGGCTGCCGTCGCGGAACGTGCACTGTCCTGCGTGAAGGTTACACTTACACCTGCATGAGCATACACACACACACACACACACACACACAAATACACACTTAGAGCAAAAGAAAGAGGCAAGCCAATTAACTCTCTGGCCACAGCATTCCTGCTGTACAGCCAAGGGCAAGGACTACCCTACTGAGGAAACCCTGCCCTGGGTATTCAATCCTGCCCCCTGAGATATCTCATTAGCTCGCCTGTGTGGATGAAGCTACGTGCTAATTAGCTGAATCGGATATGGTTGTGAAAGATCGGGCAGGGAGCTCCAGGAGGTGTAGCGGTTATGCATGAAAATGAATAATCCACAGGGGTGAAACCACTCTGAATCCCTAGTTTATCATGAGACACCCCGAAGCTAAAGCAGTGAAGAGAGTCAGAAACAGTGGTTACTGGGTACTAAAGTGTTATTTTAAAGCATGCTATGCTAAAAAGGCTTGTGTTTTGACATGGCAGATTACCTCATCACTGTTTGCCAACTATGTGTGATTACCACATTTGCCTAAATAACAGAACGCTATTTGCTTGAAACTCACTTTCATAGAAGGTCTAAGGGTAGTTGTTGGGTCAGTCAATTAATGTCTTTAGTCATAGATAGGGACGCAGGAAGGCGTTCCACCTTGGAGGTGCTGGAATTTTAAGCAACATACACTATATGGCCAAAAGTATGTGCACACGTTACCATCATAACCAGATGTGCTTGGTGAACATCCCTTTCTAAAACCATGGGCATTAATACAGACTTGATCCCTCCTTTGCTGCTATAACAGCCCCCACTCTTCTGGGAAGCCCTGTCACTAGCTTTTGGATGCGTGGCTGTGGCGATTTGCCCATGCAGGCATAAGAGCATTAGTGAAGTTGGGCACTGATATTGGACAAGAAGGCCTGGCACACAGTTGATGTTCCAATTTATCCCAAAGGTGTCCAGGCCACTTGTGTTCTTCCACAACAACATTGGCAAACCATGTTTTCATAGACACGGGAGCATTGTCATGCTGGAACATGTTTGGGGCCCATTAGATCCAGTGAAGGGAAATGTTAATACTACAGCATCCAAAGATATTCTTGACAGTTGTGTACTTCCAACTTTGTGGCTACAGTGTGGGGAAGACCCATATATGGGTGTGATGTTCAGGTGTCCACATACTTTTGGCCATATATTGTACATGTGACATGCACTATTTATTACTGTATATTATTATTATTACTATTATTATTATTAGTAGTAGTAGTGTTTTAGCAGTTGCAGTTATGGAATCCTGAAAGTCGGGGATGCTGCAGCACCCTTAGCACCCCCACTTCCCGCATCCATGGTCAAAGGTACATGTAACAAACAAAACACACAAATAGATTCATAAACAATTACTGGCAAAATTAAAACCCTCGAGTCCTCAGCATACTTCTTGTAGGGATGATGTTTGGCTGGTTTCCATGAACAATATGATGTAATTGCATATGCACAAGGCAGCTTCTCCGCGACCAAGCCTATGATTGGTTGTTACAAAAGAGGCATACCCAAGCTTTTTCATTCCAAGATGGATGAATTTGAGGAGTGTCAAAGATACCAACACCTTTAAGAGTCTTCGACAAGGGATTACAAAGCCTAACAAATGGTTTGAAATTGGACTCACGTACTACCTTCCTCTTACTTTATTTTCCTTTTCTTTTTGTACAAATGCATCGCTACATTAAGTATGCCGATGCCTTTAGGCTTCTCTTATAAGTATGTTTTAGGTCAAAAGGTTTTCTGCTCTTTTCCAAGTGAGGAACAATGTACCAAAATTGTTGTCTGTAGTAATTCACTCCAGATGCAGTAGATTGAGATAAGATCGACAGTATTGGTTTGAGGTCTGCAGTGTTATACCTGACATAACACCATGGCCTATGTGTAAACCACGTTTTAGACTAAATGACCAAAAGCAAGACAGATGCGAATAAGCTGCACATTATGAAAGTAGGAGAAGAAAAATCTCCACACAGCACATCAGTTAGAAGAGACTTGATCAGGCTTTGTTCTTATGTGAAAGCTCACTGCAGCGAAAAACCAAAAATCTGAAGACAAATACTGAAGTAAATGACATGCAACTGCTATGCTGCAGGGGAAAATACACAGGAAAATAAGAGAGACAGAGAGATAGTGCAAGAAAGAGAGATGATTTCACACCTAATTAAAATAAATGGGAGTTACTAAGGTGGCATCTGCTGTCAAGTAGGATT